GCATTACTTAGCGATATGGGTGGTACTAAGAGTAATAGCATTTTTTAGCGATATCAGTGGTACTGATAGTAAGTGCGTTACTTTGCGATATGAGTGGTACTAAGAGTAAGTGAAATTACTTAGCGATATGAGTTGTACTAAGAGTAAGTGAAATTTTTAGCGATCTGAGTGGTACTAAGAGTAAGTGCGTTACTTAGCGATATGAGTGGTACTACGAATAAGTGCATTACTTAGCGTAAAAATAAGTGCGTTACAAGCTCGACCGGGTGTTGTACATGTCGCAGCCGGACTACTTCAACGACGGAACCGGCCGGGTGTGCAAGCTGCTGAAGAGCCTGTACGGGCTGAAGCAGTCGCCGCTGCTGTGGTACTTGGCACTCAACGACGTGCTGGTCGACGCTGGGTGGAAGAAGAGCCAGGTCGACGAGGCCCTTTACTTCAAGGTCGGCGCCGACGGAGCGACTTGCTGGGTGCTGGTCTACGTCGACGATCTGCTTGCCGCCAGCAGTAGCCCCGCGATGCTGAAGGAGCTACTGGAGGCCACCTTTGAGCTGCGCGAGATCTCGCCGGTGCAGAAGTACCTCGGGCTGGAGATCGTCCGCGACAGGACGGCGGGGAAGCTGTGGTTGCACCAGCAGGGCTACGCCGACAAGCTGCGTAGGTGCTTCATCGACGAGGAGCAGGGTGGTCGGACTCCGAAGACGCCGGTCTCGGTCGACGCCTACGCCGAGCTCACCTTCGACGACGAGGAGGCGCAGGAGCGACAGGAGGAGGAGTACCGACAGAAGGTCGGCTCGCTGCAGTTCGCGGCGACGACGACGAGGCCAGACATCGCCTTCGCCTGCAGCAAGCTGGGGAGCGGACTCACGGTGAGGAGCGACCAGCACTGGCGTGAGGTCGACCGCTGCCTCGCCTACCTCGCCAACACGCGTGACACCGCCCTGGAGTTCGGCGGTGGACCTGAGTCGCTGGAGCTGGTCGGCTACGTAGACGCCGACGACGCCGGTGACAAGCAGAGCAGGACGAGCACGGGCGGCTACGTGTTCGTCTACGGAGGGGCCGCGGTCTCCTGGTCGAGCCAGCGCATCAAGTGCGCGACGCTGTCATCGACCGAGTCGGAGTACGTGGCGGCCGTCGAAGCCGGCAAGGAGGGACGCCGACTTCGCTTCCTCCTCGCAGAGTTCCAGCAGTTGGATGCTGGGAAGCCGACCGTCCTTCGGGTGGACAACAAGTCGGCCATCACGGTCGCCGAGGGCATGGGGTTGACGGGCAACCTCAAGCACATGGAGCGGCGACAGGCCTGGCTGCAGCACATGGTGAAGCGGGGGAAGTTTGCGCTGCAGTACATCCCGACCGCAGAGCAGCCAGCCGACTTCCTCACGAAGGCGCTGCACTATCCGGCCTTCAACCGGTGCTCCGTCGCCATCGGCCAAGTGTGTCTGGCCGACGTGGGCGGCGGCGACGACGACGTGCAGCAGTAGGTGCCATGCCCTTCTGCATGGCTGGTGCGGTGGACGACGTGCTGTGTGTTGGGTGCACGTCGACGAGCTGTTCTCCGAGAGGTGCTGCCGTGTGGGCTGGGGGGCCCAAGCGTGAACGCGGCAGGGGAGTGTCAACGGGAGTTGGGTATTGGCCCCGTCCTCGCTTGGGCGGAGCCGACTTCGTGGTCGGGTGTAGGGTGCAGCCGACCTGCAGCAGTGGGCGGGCTGGTCGACGAGGTTGGTCGACCTGCACGGGGAGCCACTGCATGGGCGCCGACTTCGGGAGGGCGTCAACATCAGGTGGTCGACCTGGGACGTCGACCAGCCCTTCTGGTCGACCTGGGAAGTCGACCAGGTCTTGTGGTCGACCAGGAGTGACGTCGACCTAGAGCTGGTCGACCAGGGAGTAGTGGTCGACCTGGGAGGTCGACAGGCATATACCGGAGGCAGTGGTCGACCTGGTACGGTCGACTGGAAGTGGTCGTCGACTTGGGTGGTCGATGGGCACGCACTGGAGCCTCTGGTCGACCTGGTTGCCCGGTCGACCAGGTTACCTGGGTGACGAGGTGCTGCGAAGGCTTGCGATGGTCGCCCAGGTGGTTTTGGCGAGAACGACCTCGGTGATGGTATCCCGAGGTCGACGTGGTGCATCAGATGCAGTCGTCAGCACGAGGTGGACTTGGTGTGTGCGCTGTGCAGGTGACGAAGCAGTGCGCGCCAATCACCTACGAGCACCTGCGAAGCGGGTGCGATGCTGGACTGCAGGAGCAACGCTGGCGCGCCGTCGACTTGCGCTGTTGTCTTGCCGTCGACCTGCAGCGTTGGCAAGCCGCGACTCTGCACTGCTGGAGCGCGGTCGACCAAGTCGTGCTGACCTGCTTGCATCTTATCTGATGTAGTCTTGCCTAGCCAACTTCATTGTATCATTGTTGTCAACTTTCTCTAGTGAAACTCTTGCCAAATTGCCTTGTGAACTAGCAAGCAGTGTGTGCACTAGGAAAAACGACTAAGGACCGAGGAACGCAGAGATCACACGAGCACACGTGCCTAGCCCGTAGTCTAGCTCCCGTTACTAGAGTTATCTCCGCACCTGGTTGAAGGCCGGGTAGTGCAGCGCCTTCGTGAGAAAGTCGGCCGGCTGCTCAGCGGTCGGGATGTACTGCAGCGCAAACTTCCCCCGCTTCACCATGTGCTGCAGCCAGGCCTGTCGCCGCTCCATGTGCTTGAGGTTGCCCGTCAACCCCATGCCCTCGGCGACTGTGATGGCCGACTTGTTGTCCACCCTCAGGACCGTCGGCTTCCCAGCATCCAGCTGCTGGAACTCTGCGAGGAGGAAGCGAAGTCGGCGTCCCTCCTTGCCGGCTTCGACGGCCACCACGTACTCCGACTCGGTCGATGACAGCGTCGCGCACTTGATGCGCTGGCTCGACCAGGAGACCGCGGCCCCTCCGTAGACGAACACATAGCCGCCCGTGCTCGACCTGTTCTGCTTGTCGCCGGCGTCGTCGGCGTCCACGTAGCCGACCAGCTCCATCAACTCAGGTCCACCGCCAAACTCCAAGGCGGTGTCACGCGTGTTGGCGAGGTAGGCGAGGCAGCGGTCGACCTCGCGCCAGTGCTGGTCGCTCCTCACCGTGAGGCCGCTCCCCAGCTTGCTGCAGGCGAAGGCGATGTCCGGCCTCGTCGTCGTCGCTGCGAACTGCAGCGAGCCGACCTTCTGCCGGTACTCCTCCTCCTGGCGCTCCTGTGCCTCCTCGTCGTCGAAGGTGAGCTCGGCGTAGGCGTCGACCGAGACAGGCGTCTTCGGGGTCCGACCGCCCTGCTCCTCGTCGATGAAGCGCCTACGCAGCTTGTCGGCGTAGCCCCGCTGGTGCAGCCACAGCTTCCCCGCCGACCTGTCGCGCACGATCTCCAGCCCAAGGTACTTCTGCACCGGCGAGATCTCGCGTAGCTCGAAGGCGGCCTCCAGCAGCTCCTTCAGCTCCTTCAGCATCGCGGGGCTACTGCTGGCGGCAAGCCAATCGTCGACGTAGACCAACACCCAGCAAGTCGCTCCGTCGGCGCCGACCTTGAAGTAAAGGGCCTCGTCGACCTGGCTCTTCTTCCACCCAGCGTCGACCAGCACGTCGTTGAGTGCCAAGTACCACAGCAGCGGTGACTGCTTCAGCCCGTACAGGCTCTTCAGCAGCTTGCACACCCGGCCGGTTCCGTCGTTGAAGTAGTCCGGCTGCGACATGTACAGCACCCGGTCGAGCTTGCTTTGCAGGAAGGCGTTCTTCATGTCGAGCTGCATCAGGTTGAGGTTGAGCACGGCGACGATGCTGAGGAAGATCCTCAGCGTCACGTAGCTGCCCACCGGCGCGAACGTCTCGTCGTAGTCGGCGCCGTACACCTGTGTGAAGCCCTTCACGACCAGCCTCGCCTTCTCGCGCTCGACGGTGTCGTCGATGTGGTACTTCGTCGTCAGCACCCACCGGTTCTTCATCACGTTCACTCCCGGCGGGCGTTCGACCAGCTCCCACGTCCCCATGGCGATGAGACTGCGGATCTCCTCCTCCATGGCGGCCTTCACCGCCGGACCCTTCCAGCTTGCCAACGCCTCCTTCACCGTCATCGTGGAGATGTCCCAGCGGTGCTCGGGGTCGGCCAGCATGTCGGGGTCGAGCTCCGGAAACTCTTCATCCTCGTCGGCGTCGTCGTACAGCAGGTCGTCGTCCTCGTCGACCACGTCATAGACCGTGGTGAAGGCGGCCGGGATGAAGAAGTCGGGAGGCCTCCGAAGTCGACCTGACTTCCGGGGTTCAGGCGGGACCACCACCACGTCACGGTCGGTGGACTGGTCGACCACCTCCTGATCGACCAGCTCCTCGTCGCCCAACTGCTCCCCTTTTTCTTCACCGCCGTCCTCGTCGTCCTGCTGCACTTCGGTCGGCGTCCCGACCGACTGCTCCCCTGCGGTCAGCTCCCCTGCCGACTGCCAGGTCGCCGACTGCTCCTTGGTCGACCGCGCTGCTGCCTGCTCCCCTGTCGGCTTCACCCAAGTCGGCTGCACCTCCTCGACCTGCCCTTCTCCGTTCCCCGTCGACTGCTCTCCCATGTCGACCATGTCGACTCGCTGCACGTCCCGTCGGCCACCGGCGATGCCCTTGGTCGGCGCCACAGGCGACGTCCCACTGCTCCCCTCATCGCCGGAGGCCGACAGCGGAGTCAGCCCACGCAGGTCGACGAGGGGAGTGGCAGGGGAGGGGGAGGAAGGGTGGACGACCTCGGCGTCGTCCTCAGCAAGCTCACCGACCTCGGCGAGCAGAGGGAGGGTTGCCGTCGAGGTATCCGTTGGCGTGGCCACCAGCGTCCGCCCTGACACCGGCCCATGCTCCGACTTCCACTCCTCCAACGACATGTCCTCGTAGAACACCACGTCCGACGTGGTGACCACCCGGTTGGCGACAATGTCGAGGAGCTCCCAGCCCTTGCTCGCCTCCGACACGCCGAGGTGAAGGCCCCACCTGGCCTTCGGCTTCAGCTTGCCACCACGCTGCTGCTCGGGGACGCCATCCTTGGCAGCCACCCGGAATGGCCCGCACAAGTCGATGTGGACGACGGCGAGCACGTCGGCGGCGTCGGAGCCTTGGTCGGGGAAGGTGTGCCGTGCCAGCTTCCCGCCGACGCACGAAACACACGGTGAGTCGGCGCCCGTCGCCGACTTGAGGTCCAGCCCAATGGCGACCTCGTTCTTCGCCGAGCTCCGAATGGTGTCCATGCCGACGTGCGCAAGCCGAGCATGCATCCTGCTCGGCGTCGACTTCGTCTTGGAGACGATCGCCCGCAGGGCCACAACCTCCGGCGTGGGCGACGTGGCCCTCGTGGAGCAGGGTCGCAGGTCGGTGCAAAGGACTCGCCCAGAGTACGTCGCCCGACCAAGCACCTCTCCTGCTGCCGAGACGAGCAGCATCCCGTCGCCGTCCTCCCGAAACTTCACGCCATGCTCCTTCAGCTGGCCGGACGACAACAGGTTCGCCCGCACACCCGGGACGTACAGCACGTCGGGGATGAGCACCTGCTTCCTGGCCTCGCCTTGCAGGGCGACGGTGCCGCGGCCCTGGACGTCCTGCAGCGCCCCATTGAAGCCACGCACGTGCTTCACATCGCCGCTCGGCCCCAAGTCGACGAAGGCGTCCTTTGTCCCCATCAGGTGGTGGGAGCAGCCGCTGTCGAGCAGGACCACCGCCGGGTTGGCCTGCACAGCTGCCGCCACCGCCTGGAAGTCCTCGCCAGCCTCCGGCGCCAGCGAGACTGTCGGCTCCACGACGCCGACCAGAGAGCATGACGCCGACTTGTCGTCTCTCCCCTTGCTGCCAGCAGCGGAGTCGGCGTCCTTTGCCGAGGTCGACGACTTGGTCGACTGCTTCTCCTTCTCCTTGCACAGCTGGCTCCCTCTTCGACGAGGTCGACGACTGCCAGACCTCCCGCGGCCTCCCTTGTCGTCGTCGTCCGAGTCACTGCGGTGATTCGGAGAGGTGGTCGGTGTCACCGCACAACCAAGACTCCCGACGTCGACTTCCTCCTCCTCGACCGCTGTCCTTGGTCGACTTCTTCTTGTCGACCTCCTTGGCCGGTTTCGAGCCACTGCTGCCCCCGCCGCCAGACTGCCCACGCTGTCCCGGTCGACCACCTAGCTTCGCCGGGGCGACGAAGTTCGCCTGCGCCAAGAGCTCCTGGGACCGCTCTGCCTCCTGCATCGCCTCGTCTTGCAGGATGTACGAGGTCAAGTTGTCCTCGTTGAGCGTCGCCCTCGTGCTTGGCGCCATGGACAGCCGCTTCAACAGGTTGTAGCTGCTCCGAAGTCCCTGCATGACGTGCGTGATGTAAGACGCCATCGAGTACTGCGCGCCGGCCATCCTGATGGTGGCGAGAATTCGCCGGGCCCGGTTGCAGTAGTCGGTAGCCGTCTCCTCGTCGCCCATACGAAATGCGTCAGCTGCCCTTCCAGCTGGGCGATGAACAAGTCGTCGGTGACCTGGTACGTCGACTCAATGAAGTGCCACGCCTGGTGGCCGGCGTCGAGGTACTCCCGGCACCACTTCAAGGCGATTTGCACGCCCGGCGAGCAGCACCTCGAGATGACCGTGAAGGTCAACAGCTGCACGGCGCGAAACTCAGCTCGCAAGTCGGGGTCGTCCGGCGTCTCCACGGTACCACGAGCAAAGTTGATCAGCCCGGCCATCTCCAGCTGTGGCTCGATGGCCTCCTTCCAGGTGAGGATGTCGGGTCGACCAGTGAGCGGTGGGGTGACCAGGATCCTGTCCGGCGTGAACTTGAAGTAGCCGTAGCTCGGAGCAATCCCGCCTGCCGTCACCTGAGTCGCCGACATCGGCGACAACCCGCTTCGTCGACCTCCGACGTCGCCCTGCGAGGTGCCAGTCGCCGCCGTCGATCGCTTCCGTCGCGCCTGAACGCCGCCGACTTCATCGGCGTGTATCACACCTCTCTGCCTCGACGTGCCTCCCGCACTGCTGCCGACTTGGCCACCCCCGGCTTTGACGCCTACGTCGACGCCGTCCTCTGTGTTCACCGGTCGAGGAGACGCAGGTTGAGGAGGGTGCAACGTCGCCCACATATGGCGAATGCCAGCCTCCACGACCGCCCAGGGGATCGTTCCGTACTCCTGGGCCGCATGGCGTGTCCTCGCGTCCTCCAGCTGTGCTTCCAGGGTCTCCATTCCCTTGGTGTCACCTACGCGCACGCTAGTGACTGCACGGCTGCCGGCCTACGAACAACTTAGGTAAGTGACCTCTACGTCGACCTGACTGAAAGGTAAGTCGAGTACTGTCCACGCTCACCGCACCATGCGGAGATAACTATAGCAACGGGAGCTAGACTGCAGGTTAGGCACCGATGCTCGTGTGATCTCTGCGTTCGTTGGTCCTTAGTCGTTTTCCTAGTATACACACTGCTTGCTAGTTCACAAGGCAATTTGGCAAGAGTTTCACTAGAGAAAGTTGACAACAATGATACAATGAAGTTGGCAAGGCAAGACTACATCAGAGCTAGCATGCAAGCAGGACGACTGCCAGCGCAGCACGGTCGACCGCGTGCCAGCACGACTTGGTCGACCGCGCTCCAGCAGCGCAGAGTCGCGGCTTGCCAACACTGCAGGTCGACGGCGTGCCAACGTCGCAGGTTGACGGCGCGCCAACGTTGCTCCCGCAGGACAGCAGGACTTTGCAGGTGCTCGTAGATGATTGGCGTGCAGTGACTCGTCACCTGCACAACGCACACACCACATCAACTTCGTGCTGACGACTGCTTCTGATGCACCACGTCGACCTCGGGATACCATCACCGAGGTCGTCCTCGCCAAAACCACCTGGGCGACCATCGCAAGCCTTCGCAGCACCTCGTCACCCAGCAAATTTGGTCGACCGGGCAACCAAGTCGTCCAGAGGCTCCAGTGCGTGCCCGTCGACCACCCAGGTCGACAACCACTTCCGGTCAACCAGCTCCAAGTCGACGTCACTCCTGGTCGACCAGAGGGTCTGGTCGACTTAGCAGGTGGCCGGAAGGTCTGGTCGACATCCCAGGTCGACCAGAAGGGCTGGTCGACGTCCCAGGTCGACCACCCGAAGTTGGCGCCCTCCCGAAGTCGGCGCCCATGCAGTGGCTCCCCGTGCAGGTCGACCAACCTCGTCGACCAACTCGCCCACTGCTGCAGGTCGGCTGCACCCTACACCCGACCACGAAGTCGGCTCCGCCTTAGCGAGGACGGGGCCAACATACAACTCCCGTTGACAGGAGTAAGTGCAATAGTTAGCGATATGAGTGGTACTAAGATTAAGTGTATAACTTAACGATATGAGTGGTACTAAGAGTAAGTGCGTTACTTAACGATATGAGTGGTACTAAGAGTATGTGCATTACTTAGCGATATGAGTTGTACTAAGAATAAGTTCGTTAATTAGCTATATGAGTGGTACTAAGAGTAAGTGCATTTGTTAGCGATATGTGTCGTACTAAGAGTAATTGCATTGCTTATCGATATGACTGCTACTAAGAGTGGGTGCAATAGTTAGCGATATCGGTGGTACTAAGAGTAAGTGCATTACTTAGCGATATGAGCGGTACTAAGAGTAAGTGCGTTACTTAGCGATATGAGTGGTACTATGAGTAAGCGCGTTACTTAGCGATATGAGTGGTACTAAGAGTAAGTGCATTACTTAGCGATATGAGTTGTTCTAAGAATAAGTTTGTTACTTAGCTATATGAGTGGTACTAAGAGTAAGTGCATTTCTTAGCGATATGAGTGGTACTAAGAATAAGTGCCTTACTTAGCGATATGAGTGGTACTAAGAGTAAGTGCGTTGCTTAGCGATATGTGTGGTACTAAGAGTAAGTGCATTACTTAGCGATATGAGTGGTACTAAGAGTGAGTGCATTACTTAGCGATATGAGTGGTACTAAGGGTAAGTGCATTACTTTGCGATATGAGTGGTACTAAGAGTAAGTGCATTACTTAGCGATATGAGTTGTACTAAGAGTAAGTGCGTTACTTAGCTATATAAATGTTACTAAGAGTAAGTGCGTTACTTAGCGATATGAGTGGTACTAAGAGTAAGTGCATTACTTAGCGATATAAGTGCGTTACTTAGCGATATGAGTGGTACTAAGAGTAAGTGCATTACTTAGCGATATGAGTGGTACTAAGAGTAAGTGCATTACTTAGCGATATGAGTTGTACTAAGAATAAGTTCGTTACTTAGCTATATGAGTGGTACTAAGAGTAAGTGCATTTCTTAGCGATATGAGTGGTACTAAGAATAAGTGCCTTACTTAGCGATATGAGTGGTACTAAGAGTAAGTGCATTGCTTAGCGATATGTGTGGTACTAAGAGTAAGTGCGTTACTTTGCGATATGAGTGGTACTAAGAGTGAGTGCATTACTTAGCGATATGAGTGGTACTAAGAGTAAGTGCATTGCTTAGCGATATGAGTGGTACTAAGAGTAAGTGCGTTACTTAGCGATATGAGTTGTACTAAGAGTAAGTGCGTTACTTAGAGATATGAGTGGTACTAAGAGTAAGTGCGTTACTTAGCGATATGAGTGGTACTAAGATTAAGTGCATTACTTAGCGATATGAGTGGTACTAAGAGTAAGTGCATTACTTAGCGATATGAGTTGTACTAAAAATAAGTTCGTTACTTAGCTATATGAGTGGTACTAAGAGTAAGTGCATTTCTTAGCGATATGAGTGGTACTAAGAATAAGTGCCTTACTTAGCGATATGAGTGGTACTAAGAGTAAGTGCGTTGCTTAGCGATATGAGTGGTACTAAGAGTAAGTGCATTACCTAGCGATCTCAGTGATATTAAGAATAAGTTCATTACTTAGCGATATGAGTGGTACTAAGAGTAAGTACGTTACTTAGCGATATGAGTGGTACAAAGAGTAAGTGCATTACTTAGTAAGTGCATAACTTAACGATATGAGTGGTACTAAGAGTATGTGCGTTACTTAACGATATGAGTGGTACTAAGAATAAATAAATTACTAAGCGATATGAGTGGTACTAAGAGTAAGTGCATTTCTTAGCGATATGAGTGGTACTAAGAATAAGTGCCTTACTTAGCGATATGAGTGGTAATAAGAGTAAGTGCATTACTTAGCAATATATGTGCTACTAAGAGTGAGTGCATTACTTAGCGATATGAATGGTACTAAGAGTAAGTGCATTACTTAGCGATATGAGTGGTACTAAGAGTAAGTGCATTTAGTTAGCGATATGAGTGGTACTAAGAGTAAGTGCGTTACTTCGCGATATGAGTGGTTTATAGAGTAAGTGCATTACTTAGCGATATGAGTGATAATAGGAGTAGGTGCATTACTTAGCGATATGAGTGGTACTAGGAGTAAGTGCATTACTTAGCGATATGAGTGGTACTAAGAGTATGTGCATTACTTAGCGATATGAGTGGTACTAAGACTAAGTGCGTTACTTAGAAATATAAGTGGTACTAAGAAAAAGTGCGTTACTTATCGATATGAGTGGTACTAAGAAAAAGTGCATTTTTTAGCGATATTGGTGGTACTAAGAGTAAGTGCATAACTTAACGTATTAGTGGTACTACGAGTAAGTGTACTACTTAGCAATATGAGTGGTAGTAAGAGTGAGTGCACTACTTAGCTTTATAAGTGGTACTAAGAGCGAGTGTTTTACTTAGCGATTTGAGTGGTACTAAGAGTAAGTGTGTTACTTAGCGATATAAGTGGTACTAAGAGTAAGTGCATTACTTAGCGATATGAGTGGTACTAAGAATAAGTGCGTTACTTAGCGATATGAGTGGTACTAAGAATAAGCGCGTTACTTAGCGATATGAGTGGTACTAAGAATAAGTGCGTTACTTAGCGATATGAATGGTACTAAGAGTAAGTATATTACGTAGCGATATAAGTGGTACTAAAAATTAGTGCGTTATTTAGCGATATGAGTGGTACTAAGGGTAAGTGCGTTACTTAGCGATATGAGTGGTACTAAGAGTAACTGCATTAATTAGTGATATGAGTGGTACTAAGAATACGTTCGTTACTTAGCAATATGAGTGGTACTAAGAATAAGTGCCTTAATTTGCGATATGAGTGGTACTAAGAGTAAGTGCATTACTTAGCGATATGAGTGGTACTAAGAATAAGTGCCTTACTTTGCGATATGAGTGGTACCATGAGTAAGTGCGTTACTTAGCAATATGAGTGGTACTAAGAGTAAGTGCATTACTTAGCGATATGAGTGGTACTAAGAGTAAGTGCTTTACTTAGCGATATGAGTGGTACTAAGAGTGAGTGCATTACTTAGCGATATGAGTGGTACTAAGAATAAGTGCATTACTTAGCGATATGAGTGGTACTAAGTGCCATGTCGACGCGAGTTGTTGTTGTGTGGCCCCTTCCTCGCTTGGGCGGAGCCGATTTCGTGGTCGGGTGTAGGGGTGCAGCCGACCTGCAGCAGTGGGCGAGCTGGTCGACGAGGTTGGTCGACCTGCACGGGAGCCACTGCAAGGGCGCCGACTTCGGGAGGGCGCCAACTTCAGGGAGGTCGACCTGGGAAGTCGACCTGCGGAGGGCGTCGACTTGGTGACGCCAACTTGGGGCAGCCGACTTGGGTGGTCGGCTAACGGAGCTGCTGGTCGACCTGGTTGGTCGACCAGACCTGCTAGTCGACCTGATTGGTCGAGTAGACCTGCTGGTCGACTAGGAGCTGGTAGACCTGGAGTGACGTCGACCCGGTGAGTTCGACTGGAGGTGGCCGTCGACTTGGGAGGTCGACGGGCACATCTAGGAGCAGCTGGTCGACCAGGCTGCCCGGTCGACCAGGTTACCCGGGCGACGAGGTTCTGCGGAAGAGTGCGACGGTCGCCCAGGTGGTTTTGGCGAGGACGACCTCGGTGGTGGTATCCCGAGGTCGACGTGGCTGATCAGAGGCAATCGTCAGCACGTGGAAGATCTGGTATGTGCGCTGTGTAGGTGACGAGGCACAGCACGCCAATCATCTGCGAGCACCTGCGAAGCGGGTGCGATGCTGTACTGCGGGAGCAACGCTGGCACGCCGTCGACTTGCGCTGTTGTCACGCCGTCGACCTGCAGCGTTGGCAAGCCGCGTCTCTGCACTGCTGGAGCGCGGTCGACCAAGTCGTGCTGGCACGCGGTCGACCGTGCTGCGCTGGCAGTCG